TTACCCAGCTGTCTATAGACTATGCACTTACAGTTTTTTTTCCAACTGTGAATATTGGTCTTTAATTTCTATTCATAACTTCCTGTGAGGAAGCAAGTCACTATATGCAACATATTTTATTTGTATACTGTAAATATAATAAATCTGTTTTGCCTGTTTTGGGGATAGTAAAGTGCTGTGATCTATAACAGAATTATAAAGAATATGCACATATGTCACAGTGTGTTGAAAGTTGGAATGAGGCGCCATTTTAGAAGGGAGGCTTTACCTTATTTACCTTATTGATTGTATAATTTACCTGCATATATTCTTGTTTTGTTTGGCTAAAAAGTGGCTTAAAGGGTTTAGATCTCACTGTACTGACTGTGGTAATTCAGAATGGATATCCTAAGCTGACTGTAGCTACTGACTGCACCCTGATCTCAGCTCTTGGTTTGGGAGCTAATGCTAGCTAGCAGCTGTCAGCAGATAACACAAACACTTCAATTGATTTCTGTCCTGTGTGCTCAAACTGAAGACTAAGGGGACATTAGGATGTAGTGGAAGCATCAGATATTGGATGTAGCTGTAGTATTTATTATTTTAAATGAACTTTTAGAGGTATGTAGTCTACAGTATATCTTTATGATGGATAATGAGCTTGAACCACCCAAAATGCTGCATTTCACCAAAATTCAACAAGGCATGACAACAACCTCACATTCTCTATTTCAAGCCATGCTAGCGGTTTGTCTCCAGAGATGGCAAATGTTGGTCAAATGCTCCACCATTTTGCTTCAGACTGAAATATCTCAACAACTATACTGCAGATTGCCATGAGGTTTGCATAGACATTCATAGTCCTGAGAGTATGAATCCTGATGACTTTGATGATCCCCTGACTCTTAAAACAAGACAAACATTCTGTTACCTGCTAAAGAAAAAGCATCACTATTGTAGAGCACCACAGAGTTGTTAGCATGGCTGTAGACTCAGAATCTTGGTTTATTAAGTGTGATCAGCTGGGTGTGTTTTATATTAAATTTTCAGATTAAAATAACTGTGGAATTAAAATAAATAGTGACTAATTCATATTTGCTCTAGCTACTGTGGAGAAAGCCTGTGTAGGCTACAGTACAGTGCTGCATTGGTCTGTTTGTACATGCTTTTACAGTCATGAAAATGCACCACATATTATAAAAAACTTGCTTAAGGATCCCCGGCTGTCACAGTTCATGTGCTGGAGCAGTACCTGCAGACTTCTGTCAGTCAATACCTCATAAGAAAAATGCAAAGAGCAAGTCGCCAAGATGCAAAGCTCACGTTCTTTCTTCCCAAACTTGGAAACGTGTATCATATCTCCCAGGCATGCCTGTCTTCAATGGTGCAACATTGAAGCAGCTATTTACTGTATCTGTTTATTCTGTCAGTCATTTGCACTTCAGTGAAGACATTTATACCCTGTACAGCCTCTCCTACTGCTGCTTCCCAGTTTAGAGATTTGGGCTGATGTGTGCTGAACTTCACTGGGAAGTTCAAGCATGTGGAACTTCTGCACTTAAAATAAAATATATATATATATAATAAATACTTGATTATTATTCAGAATGATATGTTGTGAAAGGAGAGTACCACTGAAATACTAAACTCAGATATCTTTTTTCACTTGATTTATATTCTTAATGTTCACAAGTGTTATTCCTTGTTAGCTGAAATAAAGTTTACACTAAGTCTGAATCCACAGGAAATTGCAAAATATCAGTTTAATATTTATTATATCAGGCTGTAGTTTGAATTGGAGATTGAATAAATTTGATGAATTGTGCAGTTCTAAAAAAGCAATCTAATTTTACCTTCATTTTAACACTTTGGGAAAGCACTTAGTTCCTTATTTACTTTCTTGCTAAGAGTTAGTTGAGAAGCTCAGTAAAGTACCTCTCTCATGTCAGGCGGCTTGTCACTCTGCCTTTCAGTGTGGCTGTTCTGAACAACTATTCCAATGTGGTTGGACAGTACATCACATGACCCACTTCCCTTCCTAGTATAATGTGGCAAATATGCTAGGCTAAGCTAACTGCACACTGATCCTTACTTATCCAGCACACAGTGAATGTTGTAGCACAGTAATTAACACATTATACTGCATGTGCTTAAAATGACAAATGTGGTAGCGGATTACAGAGTTTCAGAAGTGTTGCTAAGTGTAGTTCTGAACTCCTGAAGCGAGCCAGGGTATTTCCTCCTGCTTCCATGCTTTATTCTATGCTAATTGGGGCATCAGAGTGGGATATGTTTTTTCCAAATCTCAACAGGCAAGTAAGCACATTTCCCAAAATGTTGAAATACTCCTAAGCATGGGTTATATTTTTGAATAATATAGAAAAAAATAAGGTTACTGCCACAGATTCATCATTTACAAATATAACCAAGCTGCTGAACACAGCAGTTGTCCCAGAGGAGATATATAATGAGCTATTTATGAGCATTAATGTCTGATTTGTTGCAGTTAGAACAATGATATGTGCATTCACATGAGTGTAACCTTACTGGTGTCTGTGTGTGCATCCCACTGAGTGTTTATGCTCCAGATGTACACTATATTGCCAAAAGTATTCACCCATCCAAATCATTGAATTCAGGTGTTCCAACCACTTCCATGGTTACAGGTGTATATAATCAAGCACCTAGGCATACAGACCACTTCTACAAACATTTGTGAAAGAATGGGTCACTCTCAGGAGCTCAGTGAATCCCAGCGTGGTACCGTGATAAGATGCCACCTGTGTAATAAGTCCAGTCGTGAAATTTCCTTGCTACTAAATATTCCACAGTCAACTGTTAGTGGTGTTATAGCAAAATGGAAGCGATTGGGAATGACAGCAACTCAGCCACAAAGTGGTAGGCCATGTAAAATCACAGAGCGGGGTCAGTGGATGCTGAGACGCATAGTGAACAGAGGTTGCCAACTTTCTGCAGAGTCACTAGCTACAGACCTCCAAACTTCATGTGGCCTTCAGATTAGCTCAAGAACAGTGTGTAGAGAGCTTCATGGAATGGGGTTCCATGGTCGAGGAGCTGCATCTAAGCCTTACGTCACCAAGTGCAATGCAAAGCGTTGGATGCAGTGGTGTAAAGCATGCCACCACTGGACTCTAGAGCAGTGGAGACGTGTTCTCTGGAGTGACGAATCACGCTTCTCTGTCTGGCAATCCCATGGAAAAGTCTGGGTTTGACAGTTGCCAGGAGAACGGTGCTTGTCTGACTGCATTGTACCAAGTGTAAAGTTTGGTGGAGGGGGGGTATGATGTGGGGGTGTTCTTCAGGAGCTGGGCTTGGCCCCTTAGTTCCAGTGAAAGGAACTCTTAATGCCTCAGCATACCAAGACATTTTGGACAATTTCATGCTCCCAACTTTGTGGGAACAGTTTGGGGATGGCCTGTTCCTGTTCCAACATAACTGTGCACCAGTGCACAAAGCAAGGTCCATAAAGACATGGATGAGTGAGTTTGGTGTGGAAGAACGTGACTGGCCTGCACAGAGTCCTGACCGCAACCTGATAGAACACCTTTGGGATAAATTAGAGCGGAGACTGCTCCTAAACCTTGTGGACAGCCTTCCCAGAAACGTTGAAGCTGTAATAGCTGCAAAGGGTGGGCCAACATCATATTAAACCCTATGGATTAAGAATCGGTTGTTATCTAAGTTCATTTGCATGTGAAGGCAGACAAGCGAATACTTTTGACAATATAGTGTGTAAGCCCATGTAGGTCTCTCAGTTTTCAATGCAACCTGGGATCATCCAGGTGGAGTTACATTCTGCAAACAACCCTTAATGCTTAATTTAGATATTAATTAGTTTCCCTGTTCCTTGGCAAAAGCCTGTGATTTCCCCTGACACTAGGAATGTTTATAACCGGGGCGCCTGTTGCTTCATGCTGCAGAGTAGCAGGTAGAAAATGCAATAACATGACTGAAACAACTGAGACCATTAACTGAGCCCAAACATTGCAGTGTGCTTGAGAAGGATTATCATCAAAAGCAGTGAAAAAGCACAAGAACTGTACTTTGTTCAGTTTATGATATCTGTTTTAACTGCTGGAACTCTGGAAAATAATCAGATTCTTTCTTCGGTGATAAATAAACAATAAAAAACCCACAGTATCCTCTGCAGTCTATACTAATCCCATTATTAGGTATCATGAATCATGTGGACCAGTTTCCTACAAATCAAATATATGGAAACTCCATCACTTCATAGCACACACTTGCTCAATAGGCAGGCTGAAGCGCATTGTGGAGGAGAAGTATTGAAAATATATCAAGTGAACAATCAACACAGTCACTGCTTAGGACTTTGCAGTGACTGTAATTTTAGCTTCATGTTTCTTTGACTTCTGTTTTGATTGATTTTTATTTGTGGATGATATATTTGGCTTTCTTTATTCTTTACCAAGGAAGCAGAATTCTTTTTTTTCTCAATTTATTGGTTATTCTATTACTTAAAGTGACTTATTCAGACATTCAATTTACTATAATAAACAACCAAATCTTACAAATGTAATCTCTGGAACTAGTGAGCCTAGCATTTTTGCTTGAGAATTTCCTTAAAGTGACAGTTCAGTATGCAAATTCAGGAAATCAAGCTAGTACTAGTAAACCACTCCACTCCTCCCGCCCCTCTCTCCAAATTACAGTAAAACTATCCCTATAAATTCTTTGCATGTAGACTAAAAAAATTACCAAATTTTTGTACAATTTTGTGGTTGTATATACATATATTTCATTCTGTCTTATCATCATTTTACTCCCACTAGCTTTTTGATTTAAGAAGCACAAACAGAGCGAGTCACCATCTTGATCAGTCATCCTCCTCCTCCTCCTGTTGTTTAACACTCGCATCATTTCTGCCACGGCTTCTCACTTTTTGCCTTCATGCAACTGCCTCCTGTGATACTAAATTAGGTGAGCAAAGATCATTTTTTTTCTAATCTACTGTCTGTCTCTGCCTTTTTTCCTCTCAGTGCACTCCCATCGTTGGCCATGGATTTGTGTTGGACAAGTACAAGTGCCAGTGCAGGAGAGGATTCTACCATCCAAGCAGAGTGGCACTCAATGGCTTCAAAAGTGGGTTACAAATCCCTCTGTGTATAAAAATACATATTGCAATGAGCCGTCAGATCAAAACTGAATTTTTCAAAAGCAAGCATTTTGGATTTATTCATAAAAAACAACCTCTTTTCAGTTGACAGACATTTTGTTTGTAGTTCTTGTTATATCTTTGAATGGGTATCCTGCAGTTAGGTTATGAAACCTCAAGCTTCAGTCAAAGAGTTTCAGTTGTTCTTACTGTGAAAACATTTGCCATGTTTCTACGAGCTCCAGGTAGCCACAGGTGGCATCTGAATCACAGACCTGTTGGATTGGAAGTGAGGTGTGTAGACAATTAATAAAATAAACTTGAATAAAGCTTTAGCACATATTAAATGGCCATTTGATAAACCTCACCCCTCGCTATTGCCTCACTTGTCAAGCTTTCTGTTATCACATGGTGCATTAATGTTTGATTTACCCCCTTGAAATTTTTTATAATTTTTTTAAACAGTGGGTATTTGATTTCACAAATAAGAAGACAAAAGCAGTTTTCTCATTTCCAATTGACAGTCACTTATTTTGTCAGCTGAAGTAACAACTGTGACTTGTAGATTTTTATGCCTCCGTGCTGGCAACAGTCGTGACCAGAGACTGTTTCCATCTGGCTGTTTTTCTCAGATCTCTGTGATAAAGCCTTGGGAGAACTTCTTCAAATTTGGTACAAATGTGCACTTGAACTCCAGGATGAACCTATTAGATTTTGGTGGTCAAAAGTCAAGGTGACTGTATCCTCATGTCTGTCTCATCCCTGTGATTTTGGCTGGTTGGTAGTGACACGAGGCATTAATTCTAATTTCAGCTGTGGCCAGCCAGTGTAAGATAATGTTAACACTAAAACTCATTGAATGTGTTGAAAATGCTGCTTTTAAAGCACTTGGAAAAGCAACAATGTGGTTAGACTTATGTTTTAATGATGTTATTTTTAACAGAATTATTCACTTTTACAATATAAAATGAACTGATGATGAGAATAACCTGAAATAACTTGCTAATGCAAGTTTGGCTGAAGTTGCTGGTCAAATAAAGAGCAGGACAGCGCAGTATTTTAATGTAACCAGTAATTCCAAAAATTACAATAGTTATATAATAATACGCCTCTAGATTTTGGAAATAACTTGCTTATTCCTGTAGGCTAGTTAGCAGACATGTAATCATTTGCATCATCCTTTTGCTCTCACTTATCTTTTGGTTTTGCAAATTCAAGAAAAGGACAACACTGTCCTAAACTCTTTATTTACTAAGTTTCACTCTTATTAATTCCAGTGCACATTTCTTAACATGTAGAGAAAACCAAAGCTGCCATGTCTTATGGTTGTTAAGCGATGATTGGACAGTCACTATGTGGTTGTGGGGTCTTATGGAGTAGGCTATCACATGCATATTTCAGTTGTTTTCCTTTGTTTTTATTTTATTTATTATATTTGACTGATAACTAAATCTAAGCATGCACCTAGCTTTGGACCTTTTTTCCACTGCTGTTTTTTATTTCACCTTTTTAATTTTCAGGTACATCATTAAATTTACCTCCCTGCTCAAGAGTTGAATTTAAATGTCTGTATTCTGACATTTTGACTGAAAGAGCTGCAGTGTCCTCGGGCAGAACGCTTGGCCCTGATGAGAGAGTTAATCAGGCAACTGCAGTGGTTTTCATCCCTGACTCCAACAATATAGCAGCCCAAGGGAGATGATATGCTGAGCTGGAACTTTATTGTAATGCAGCATGTGAAGCCTGTAGTCAAACAGCTCAGTCTGTGAAGAGACTCATCATTTGAAGCACCGTCATTAAAAATCATTCTGGCTCAGATTGGGTCGAAGCAGCTTGTGACCCTGATTGCCCCTCCTGAAACCTGTCTGTTAGTCCTCCTGCATCCGTGAAAACAGATGTCGTATTGTTCCTTATAGCAACATGCTATGACAACAGATGTCAACGGGGAAAAGGGATGGAGAGAGAAAAACAGCCAGCAAAGAAATGAATGATTTGGAAGTGAGCAGTAGAACCTCATGACTGTCAGAGTTTGTGTTTTGTTAATGAAGTGAACTTAGCCATTTTTTCCAGACAGCCGTGTCTATATATTAACACAACATGCAGACAGACAGACAGCTTCTAGCTTCTCATTCAACATTTTTTCATCTGTCTTGGGGTTTATTTTCCACTGTCTATGAGAAAGTTGAGAAACAGTTACTTTGTCAGCCCAGAAAAAACAACAACTCTCATTTAAAAAAACAAACTGCAAGCACGACCATACGAGCACTTTTGTCATTAGGCTTATTTGAGAGGAACCCAAATGAATGCAGATTTGATCAGCAGCGATAGTAGATGCTACTGGATAGTTAGTGCTCTGTCTGACTTGATTCCATCTTGCTCTATTATCATGCAAACCCGAGGGCATGATGGGAAATGCTTGGCCATGATTTAGGAATTGACTGGTATGAACATTACTGATTTAATTAAAGTATTAAGGGACACAAAAACCTCTGGTAATCAGAATGTGAAGATTATTAAAACAACATCTGCACAGGGGCAAAGACCTGGTAGTCTAAACATCTGTCAGCTTAATTATGAAAACATGCCTTGTGTTTCTTTCCTCTCCCTATCTAATTTAAATACTAATGGTTTAGAATTTATTTTTATGGTTTCATATCAAATCGAGCATTGTCAGCTAATATACATCAGCTAACTCACATGATAACTGCATTAAACTGTAAACATTTTACAGTAGCTCTGTATGTATATGTGCACTGACAGTCCTTTTTAAATCCAGAATCTTGTTAATCTTGTTTTATCCACTATCCTCTTAGGGTTGTGGTTAATTAATTTAAGTACTTAAGTTTAAGTAAATTCTTGAGTTTCGTTTAGGCCATAAACCTAAAGAAGATATACAGTATGTTTGTACAAGATAAAATTTTTGACAGTGCTTCTAAATTTCTAATGTGTGAACACAAAACAAGCTCTGCAGTGGCTTCAAGCGGGGCAATAAAATGCAGTATGAGGAGATTGTGTAACAGAGGTTATGCAAAAAATGCATCAGACCAAAACCACATGACAACAGACCCCTGTCACTGTGAGCATGTGGTCTCACACTAAATGTGCAAAACTGAGTCAAGCAGTGTCTTCAGTGGGGTTTCTTCTTGCCTTATTCTAGTCTGTCCTTCTTCTCTGTCTCATTACATTGTGACCACGATCTATGATTTGAGCAGGCGGTGCCTTCAAGCAGACCATAATTAATCATAAATTATTTGGATGAAAAATCATAACCGCCAAGTGTCATTACTAACATCAGTGACCACATGAGTGCCTGGTAAAGTCCTCATTTACCATATATATTCACCCCAACACTTTCTGTGTTCTGTTGCATTGATCTCTACTGAAGCACTGTGCACTCTTGTGCACGTTGTTTGGATACTGTCTGAGCTCTGGGACTCACAGAGATCACCAAGTGTCAGTTTCTCCACAAGGAGCTGTATACTGTACTGTGGTGGTAATGGAAGCTTTAAACAGACTAAATCCTGCCACGGCCTTTTTTTTTAAACGCATAACCTCAATTCAAGTCCCAAAGTTGCCAGAGATGCTAAATGTGAGTACTTGCAAATTAGAATTTGGAGATTTGATAAACCACCTTCAAGTGTGTCACATCCCGCTGTAACAACAACAGCTATGCAGACTAGAGTGATGAAGGGAGCAGTGTCACAATATTCTTCTTCATCATCATTCCTTCATCTGCTTAATTATAGGCTCTGCTCTTGTAATTATCACCCCAAGGCTTTGTGATTTATTGGACTGATCATTTACACTCCAACATGATTAACCGAGCATTTCATAAGAAGTCAGTGTCTGACAGCTTAACGCAAATTAATTACAATGATAATCCTTGAAAATACTACAGTAAATCAGACCTGTGTTCTGAGTTGTGATTAGATATGAAGATTGCAACTTTACCTCTTCAAGAACTTGAGCAAATATACTAACATGTAGATATGTGACAACTAATTATAACTGAAGTGTCTTCACGTCAACAGGTAAGGGGCAGGTCTCTCACAGACATGAGACCTCTGATGTGTCAAACAAGTGCCTGCCGTGCCGTGAAGGCTGTCCCCACTGCCGGGACGACACTCCTTGTCTGGTGCAGGAGGATAGAACTCTGCGGCTTGCTGTGGCCTCCTCCCAGGGTCTGTGTATGGTGCTAGACCTGGCCAGCATGATGGTGGTCTACCATTTCAGAAGGAACAAGGTGAGGACATGGGAGGCAGACACTCTCTCTACCTTTCATATTAGACTTCAGACTTTTCTTTTTGATAAAGTTCATAGTTAGGGCTTGATTGGGTGACCCTGAGCCTTCCCTTAGCTATGCTGCTATAGGCCCACACTGCTGGAGTCCTCCCATGATGCTCTGAGCTCTTCTCTTCTCCTTTCTCTCTGCATGCATCTATATGCCAGATGCAAATTAAACTGCCCCCAGTTTAATTTATTATCCCCTGTTTTATTTTCTATACATCCAATACAGCAGATTTAACTAGCATCTGCCACGCTTGAATTCATACAGATATACAGCATCATACACACTCTGCTAATAGAATAATTAGGGAAATAAGATTCTTGCAGTGTAGGATAATTACAGACAGTCTTCAGGCAAAGCTGAATATTTTCTGCTGTGCTATTTATGGACATTTGTACTGTTGCCTCAGAAAGAAATGCTTCTAGAGCGCTTTGAATTTACATAAAGATGTAAAAAATGTAGGTAATTAAATCAGAGCCAGAAAAAATGCTGTCATCACTCATGTTCTCATTTCAGGGGAAGGCAAAACATAAGAAAACATATATTCAACTGATGTTTGTGTTTTTTTGTTTGTTTGTTTTGAAAGAGGCACTGATTTAATATTTACCCTCGCCTGCAGTGCGACCTTCTGATAATACTCAATTTAAACAGTGATGTCAGATAACGGCAGCAGGATGTGAAAAGTAAATCGTTGCCCTCCTGCCATGTTTTACATTACACCCCTTCCTGTCAGTGATTGATTGATGGCTTCTCTGTTGTTTCTCTGTCCTCATTAACAGAGCATTCGCACATCTGGTCTCATCTTGCTGGAAGCCATCTTGTTTGGGGCGTTACTGCTTTACTTCCCAGTAAGTTTCCATCCTGAACCCACATGTCATTTCACTCAGTAGTTTTTCTTGTTTTTCTTTTTTTTTTGTTTTTTCATAGTTACAATCTTAAAGTTATAGAGTTCACTCAGCAGCCATGCTACATCATGTAGCCAAACAAATTCACCTTGGATTAACACTGGTCAGTTAAAAACTGTTGTCCATCATAACTGTTAAATGATTTCAAGGGTGGGGAGCTGAAGGTGAGCAGCAGCTCCTCAGTGTAACAGCTCAATGTGGCTGGATAGAACTGATCTGCTGTGGAAGAGACTGGATGGCATCTCGTTCAGCAGATGCATTTTTATAATGTTTCCTGTAACTGTTTCACAATAAAACTCACTCCGTGTTTCACCAGTCCCGTGGTTTAAAGGTTGGGTTTACATTTGCATTATTTAATGCAGCTCTGATACAAGTTGAAGACTTAACAATGTGGCTTATAGTAGTGATTGCCTTCAGGTGGGCCAATATCAGTCTCTCAAAACACTTCATGACTTCATGACTACAGATTTCAGGGCGACAGGTCTGTAGTCATTTAGTTCCCTGATGGAGGGTTTCTTGGGAACTGGGATGATGGTGCAGCATTTAAAACTGGAGGGAACTACACAAATCTGCAGTGTAGTCCTAGAGGAAGCAACTATTGGTTGTGGGTCCAAGATGAGGTGAGAGAGAGGTGTAGAGCTCTGCCTCTCAAACCTAAAATAAAACCCATTTGCCTCTTCAGCCAATTGATAGCTCTCCACAGTGGGTGGGGGGGTGGCCTCCTGTTCTTGGTGACGTTCCATAGGCTCCTACACACTGATGATGGTTCGTTGGCCCAACACTGATTTTTCAGCCTTTCAGAGTAGCTCCTCTGACTCCTTTGTCAGAGTCCTGTCCCTGCTCCTGTAGGCCTCCTCTTTGACATTTTATTGTTATTGTATGTGCACACACATGGGCACACACATGTCCTCACAGAAACTGATATATGATGTCACTGTGTCAGTATACTCATCCAGGTCTGTAGATGCAGCCTCAAAAACACACAAAGCAGGCATGTAGCTTTGACTTTGTCTCTACAGTCCATCTTTTCACCGTTTTGACCACAGGCTTTGTAGCTTTAAATTTCTGTCTATAAGTGGGAATGAGGTGGATCGTATAGTGGTCTAAAAGCGGGACCTCACGTCTGAGGTAGCCCTGATCGGTGCCATGACAGTCCATTGAAAAGGACCAGAGTGTCAGCGCTATGACAGTCCATTGAAAAGGACCAGAGTGACATCACTTCATTTGTACGTGGAGGTTGAAAATAGTGTTAACACAGAAAATGACTGGTTTTATCATTTGAGCAATGCCTTGTTTGCATTGCTTAAATGTTAAATGGATCACAGTTGGCCCTAGAAAAACAAGCTCTCCCCTCTGCTGTATGGGTTGACAGCATAGTTCTCTTAAGTCTTCTAACAAAAATTGGGTGTGGCATAATAACAAATATTAATAAGGATTATAATTTTAAAATAAGGCAAAGGTCATTTTAATATAGAGGAACCATAACTTTAATGAAACCAGTACTTTAAAAAAATGCTGTTCCCTGTGTTAATGATAGAATACATTACTATGTAAATGAGGCAATAAACTCTACTACTCCAGTTCTCATCTAGATGCTGTACTACTTGTGATCATGGTCTGCACAATAACAGAGAGTTGGACATCACAGCGTGTGCTTGTTGCTCGCCCAGCCTTTGTGTTGTCGGGATGTGAGCTGGTCTGTGTGGGTGGGTGCCAGTGTACATTGTATACTGTACATGTGTATTTACACTTGTGCACACATCCCACAGTGCACCTGGAGTGCTGCGTCAGAATCCTGTCTTTAGAAGGGAAACAGATGGAAGAAACCTGAGCACCATGTAACAGAGAGATCTGATGTAACCGGGGAATTTGCTTCCTTCAAATACTTGCACAGGCTGCCAAGAATGAGCTACTGCTCTCCTCAAACACGAAGTCCAATGGCTGGATTTTAGTCATTTATGAATAGAAAAAGAAAAATCTGTGGAGAAGAAAGAGCCTGAGAGTGCTCAGCTGTTCTTATTCTAAAGCTACTGGAGTGTTACCAAATGAAAGATATTTGCATTAGAATGGAAAGCCTAGTAGTTTTATTGCAGCAGACGAAGGGCTGCAGTTATTGTGGGCTTATTTTTATGTGACCACACTTTGCATATTTTTCTGCTGGGATGCTCAAATGGATTTCATTTTGCACCCATCCCAGCCTCTCTCCCAAGGATAACTAAAGTAACCAAAAATACCTCCCCAAAAATATCCTGTCATTCTCTCACTTTCCCTCTGCTCCTCATACACACTTGGGATACACTCAAGGGTCTCTTTTTTCTCTTTGCTCTGCTATTTCTCCATTTGTTTTTATACATTTCTTAGCACTCTCCTACTTATCTTTTTCCATGCCCCCCTCCCCTTCCCTTCTTTTATTACCCCCCATGCATCACTTCATCTCACCTTTGTGTCTGTCTCGTCTCCTGCAGCCATAGCGTTTGCTTCTGCTGCTGTTCTTCTTTTGCTGCTGCCACAAGCTTCCTCAGCTAAGTTTGGCACAGCTGCTCCGCTCTGATCCTCAATGCATTTTTAAACAGTCCAACAAGTTCCAGCACAACTTGTTTTAAAAATACTTATGCTGATTAATTGATGGAGGAGGCATGGGAGGTGCAAATCAGGAGGGCTACTCTCTCTTGTGGGTGATATTACGTGACTTTTAATGGTGCAGGCCCGTGTATCTTTATAATCCCTGGATAGCAGGAGAAAGGGTGTTCCCATCTCTGTGTATGGCCATACTGTGTGTGCAAAGGCAGGATAGAGCAAAGTGTGTTTAAGCAGATTTATAGCTTCAAATTTTCCAGTGATTGTGTGCACGCACATTTGTGCATGGATTTGCGTTGCTGCTTTTGTGTATGTGGGTGTCAGAAAGAAAAACAGGGTGGCCTACTTAAATCTCTTATTTGCAGAGGTTGTCTGAGCAAAGAGCTGGAAGTCTTGATGTTTGCTCAGGAGGCAAAGAGATGAAGGTGCCACTGACCTCTGTATGAATTAAACAAACTATATGTGGCATAATGAGTGAGTTTTATAGGTGTCAAGTGCTACATTTTTAAGCTTAATAATGATATTTCCACAAATGTTTCAGCATTTTTCAGTAAAGCAATTTATTGGTATTAAAGTCATGCTGTAATGTTTGTGTTAAATATGAAAAGATTCATTTTTGGTAGAGCTTTTTTTTTTCAAATTATATCGATAAAATTAAACAAATATTTTATTCATACCTATCCATCCTCCACACACCAAGTAATTTATGAGATCCTGAGCTGCGACAGTGACTCTCAGCTGCTAGTGGAGCATTGGAAAGGAACAGCTATAATTCCTGTTCTTGGGTATAAAATGGACTTGGCTCCCCACTCTCTCACAACCAGCATACCAATGACAGACTTTGGCACTGTGCTTTCTGCGCTTTGAGTGTGTGTCACAGCAACAAAGTAAGAGAAATGTCTGTGTATCCCAGTTGAAATGAGAGCGGACAGACTGAAAGATGAAAATATGGATGTTGTGACAGTATCACTGCACACCAAGCTGTATGTTAGCCGAATGTTTGAAACATTATCTTGCCAGTTTTAAGGTTGTCTTAGATTTTAGAACATAGAAGGCAAAAACACGATAATAAAAAGCAAAAACTGGCTTTAGATGAGTTTCACTGCTCATGTTTGTTGAGCTTTCATCTTGAAACTCTTATTTTAACTTCCTGAATAGCTACGACATGTCAGGTTGTTTATTTTTGTTATTATATGTTCAAAATCACTTTGCATTTGTGTTGGTGGTCACATAGTGTACACCTGTTCATATTCCCAATTACACATTAGTTTCTCTTTTCTTCAAACACATCTTTCAGCCTCAGGGTCAGCTGCTTGCTTAGCTGAGTTTGCCACAGATGTTTTGTACAGGAGAGGTTATTGGTGCTGTTGGTTCAGCTTAATTATGCTAGATTGCTGCTGCCTCTTCAATGCCAAGGCATCATATGAGCAGGGATAAATTGCTGGCTGTAGTCCTCAGTAATGCACTTATACTATGTCTATACAGCAGTCTGTTTAAAGCTGTCAACCTGAATTTTAGATTTTTGTAATGTCAACATCCACAAAACAATCACTATATACAGTAACTGAAAAGCTCAAATTACATAACTATCCCCAAACAATCCCCCTCAGCTGGAAATGTACTGTGATTTATAGTATGGATTAGAATAAAGATGTCACTTCATTAACTATAGTCCCTTAATCTTGTGCAGGGAGGGGGCTGTTCATAAAGCTTGTACATAGATAGAAAGAAAGAGGCAGAAAACATTAGTTTGTATTCGGCTCGACTGCAGGATTTACTCTCAATTTTATTTGACCGCGAACACGTCAAACAACGGGTCTCCAGAGGCATTTGTTAACAAACCCAGAGCTAAAATAGCAGTGACTTACATTCACCAGGTGGACTGAAACACAGTTTAAGATGAATGCTACCACTGTTCTCTATCTGCTCAGTGTTTAAATATGTTGCTATGTCAAAATTATTCTAATTATTATAAACACTAAGATCACAAACAATCACATGATAAAGAAGAAAACATCAATTAAATGTTTGTGCCTCTTGTAAATTCTTTTGATATCTGTAACTATTTTAATCTGGATGTTTTAAAAGTTCTGTTACATTTTACAGATTTGTATAATTCATCATTCATTAGCTGACTTCCATGTGCAACAAGCATGGCTTAACTGAGGCTTTTGATAGGCTGTAATTGCTAGTGTCTAAACCCCAGTACCTGTGAGAGGTGTGTGAATTAACGCAGAGCATGTTTACACAACATGACTCAGGAAGGATTTGTTCTTTAATGGTACTGAGGGTGTGTATCCACCAGGTGAGTGATGCAGGTTTTCTGGAGATTTGACAAGTGGTGTCCTGCTGAGATAGAGATACATGCCAGAGAAATGAAATGCAGTGGGAACTCTGATCTGTACGGCTTGGCATGTGAGACTTATCTCTTCAGCCTCTGTCACAGCCTCATTTGTAACAGTTACATGTGCAAATAAACCTCACACCAAGCAGAAAATAGTAGGCTCCCAGCCGCTGTCAGATTCTCTGTTCTATCACAAACCAGGCAGAGAGACAAAAAATGATAACCTTGTCTGCACGCGTGCACAGAAACACGAGAGAATGTCCATGCAAGAACAAACACAAAACATCATGCAAAACACATTTAGAATGAGTCACACATACTCACTAATGGAAAATGCTAAATATCACCACGGAGATGTGGACACTAACCTTTCAAACTCTCCAATCTAATGTGTTCTGGCAGGTGACATATGAACAAACACAGCTCAGAGATGTCAGTGGGAGCTGTGGAGCTGTAAGATATCTGCATGGCCAACTCCACCTCCAGCGCTGCACATACTCACGTGTCTGTGTGAATATGACAGCAGTAGATGCTGTGTGATTCGACACTTGCATGAAGATAAAGTATTATTTGTGTGTGGGTGTTTTACAGTGTGAACACTAATAATGCTGTGTCACTCTGCAGGTGATGATCCTCTACTTCCATCCCATTGTGTTTTGGTGTATCCTCCTGCGATGGGTTCGCCTTCTGGGTTTCGCCATCATGTACGGCACTGTCATTCTGAAGCTTTACAGGTACTGTAAACTAAAACAAGCACTGTCATCCAAGGAGTGGTGAGCACCATGAATGAAATGCAGCACTGTCTGTATGTCTGATACATAACACTGAGGTGAAAGCAAGAAACTTAAGGATAAATCTAATAGGCAAGGTTCTACTCTGCTTGTCACCTCTCCTTGTTTGCAGTCCCCTCCTTTACTCTGCTCTATTTCTACTTCTACTCTCTTTTCTCCTTTCCTTATGTCCTTGTTTTCTCATCTCCTATTCTCTTCTTGTGTCCTTTCTTCCTATATCATCTCCTGTCCTTGTCTATTCTTGTCTCCTCTTTCTTTGTCCTTTCCATATCTTCTCTTCCTATCTTTGCTTCATTACTTGTCTCCTTTCCTCTTCATCTCCTCTCCAAGCCTCTCTATCTATTTTCTCTCCTGTCTTCCCACCTTTTCTCCTCATGTCTCCTTTCCTCACCTCGTCTCTCCTCATATTAACTTTCCATATGTATTCGCCTTTCTGTCTCAATTATGCAGCACCATCTTAGCCTGCAGACCTGTGCACACACAAACATACACATGTACATGCAGTCTTGCCAATAAACACATTTGTATTTCAAGTCAGGTAAATCAGTTCCAGTCAATCTTGAGCTTCCGGCTGAAGAATCTATTCAGACACACACAAACATCCTGCTCTTCAGCCTCGAGCAAGTGTTGCAGAGATGGGTGAAGGGGGTCAAAGGCCAGCCAGAGTGTTCCCCTGGATAAATTACCAATCTGATTTTTTCCCTAGCTTGCCGGGTGTAAAGTGTACCCAGGGGCAAGCTCTTATAGCCTGGTCCCACCAAATGTATCAAAGATGCAATAGATTTGTCACAGTCGGGTCAGGAGAGAGGAGATGAGCACAGTAAACAGAGAACTGACTCCTTTCCCGTAGAGCAATTAAATATTTCTATAATTACACGCTATCTGTGTCCCCATACAGCTCTATTTCCCTAGCATCAAACCCTTTTATGCTGCTACAACTATTCTGGCTGATGTGTTGTATTTAAAGTCCCTTTAAAGAGGTGGTATTGTCATGTGTGCATGTAATAAAAAAAGTAAATACTGTGCGACATAAATAAACTGATAAACTGCTTCTCCATGCATTTTATATAATATTGCAGTTTACACCCACCCAGCATATTAAAAACTGACGGCCTGCAGAAATGTCCAGGTGGAAAGAAAAAGAAAACACTCCCTGTCAAGGTGAGGCACACTCCTGCCCCTGGTGTTAGAGGTGTGATGATCTGGGGCGCTCTGGGTGCAGTTCTCTGGAGTGGGCAGTATGAGGAGGGAAGGCTATACTCCACCACTCAACTGAAGACATTACTCCACTGCTATCCCCTAAAGAATCAGCCCCCCCCCTCCTTAGGTTCTGGGAATGGTTTAGGAAGGCACCAAGCATTAGGTCAGACATGTCCTGTCACGGGCCTGGTGGCGACCCACAGCTGGATAACATCAGTCACAACAACCAAAAATAAACATAAATCACAATAAACAATATAATGTAAGTGCACTGTCTCCTCAGTAACAGAACAGAGTGCATGCCCACTCAATGAATATTACTACAGCAGGCTGCACCTACATCACAGCTCTCCCAGAGGACCAGACCCTGCTGAGCCACTCTGCAGCTCACTAGTTGTGTCTTACATCACTGCCAGTGGGCTGCGATGCACACACTGCCAGCTCCTGCCTTATCTTGTATTTATCATTATTAATAGTTATCATCCTCATCATGGAAGGAGCAGTAGACCTATCTCCATGCCTTTATATTTGATTATTTGAACTGTTCTGTTGCCTTTGTTTGCCTTGTCCTTTAAAAAAACAACAAACAAACAAAAAAGACATTTCCAAATGGTTAAGATTCCCTTCATATGATATATGTTATGTATGCCTTTGCTCTTGTATTTCTTTCCTCACTTCCTCTGACATGTCTTGATTTTTCCCTGCAGCACAAGAGACACACATTACACTATGAATTAAACCAACCATACTTAATGAACATGAATGAACTGAAATAACAGTGCCTTTTTCTCCCTGCTCCTTTTAATCCAAGTGGGCATGTTAATAAGAGCAACAGCCGGGGGCATGAGTTGTCACTGGCAGGGAGAGCATCTCTTAGTTCGACTTTGCTGCTCAGCATAGTTTCATCAGGCTCTACAGTAGCACTCAGGTTACCTCTTCCTCCTCTCTTGCCCTCTCTCAGAGTGTTAAAGGTGTTCTTATCCCGCACGGCCCAGAGGACACCCTACATGACCAGCTGGCGGGTACTTCGACTGCTGCTGGTGATTCTGCTGGTGGTACTGTGGTTCCTGGTGGCCTGGACCTCCGCTGTGTGCCAGACCCCAGAGCTGAGTCAGGCCCTGATCACC